TTGAGCTCGCGGAGTGTGTCGATCTCCACCTCTGAAAGCCCGCATTCCGTGATATGTTGAAGTTTGATATGCGACGGTAGTTGAGAGGGATATCGAGTGAAATATCGGACGGTCATGTTGATATAGACGCTGAGATCCAGAATCCGTTTCATCATCTCGTATCGAGAATTCCATCGGGTGTCGTTTTTGACCTGTGTCGTAAGCGGTTTTTGTCGGTCTTTCTGTAGGCTTTTGAGGTAGTGTGACACAGCGCCCTTGCCCTTGAAGATCTTGGCGATGTTATTACACTTGTCCAGGAGGGTCTCCGCGTCGCCGTCCTTCCATGCCTTGTTGATGGCAAGCTGGATGCAGTGAGACGCGCATGGCAGCCAAATAACTCCTGATGTCCTCCCGAAAAGCTCCATGCACTTTTTCATATTGGATCCTTGGTCAGTAGTTGCCGCGACCACTCTGCCATGAAGGTTCCACTGTTGGAGCGATTTCACTTCGAAATACATTACAAAGAAAAATGGAAGTAAGTTAATGTAATGCCTCAATGAACATGTTATGTAAATACTTTCATAGCATTGCTTTTTACTAGATTTTCCAGCACAAAGGATTGTACTTGGATGGAGTTAGTACGAATGAGTGTTGTTTCTGATCACCCTCAAAACCTAGTAAATCTGTTCTTATTTCTCACTTACCAAGGAGTTCCTGAAGAATTTCCGCCTTTTGGCTTGGTTGGTTTATTTCCTCCATTCCAACGATGACCTTGTCCAGTGTGAAACGTGGCGTGATGTAATGGTAGGTCACCGCAAGAAATTTTCTGTCGCCGTTACCCGTCCATGAATCGGATGTAATAGAGCCAAACTGATCTGGTTGACGGAGGTACTGCATCAGATCAAGTTTGTCTTTCCGATTGTTTTGCTCGAGTCTGCTCCACAAAGAATCCTCGCCTGGAATACCGAGAACGGGATTGGAGAATGACATCAGTGATTTGAATTCCCTGCCCTGCATTGATCTCATGGAGATCGATCCAGCTGTGAGAACTCGAAGGAGCAAATCTTGGTAAAACGAATGGACGTTGTTGTCGTTGGTCAAGCCTTCCCCTGCTCCTGCTCCTGCTCCTGCTCCTGCTCCTGATTTACAATGGCATGGACTTGTGCGCGGCGTTTCGTCATCCAATTCAGCAAACTTTTCGGGATTCTGGACCATTTGCTGCAGTAGTCGGAAATTACAAACGGCTTCACGCAAATCGAAATGAGCTGCCAAAAGGTGGCTCACCCTCGATCGGGTATTGGCGTTCGGGTAATGTTGATTGCATACGGCTGAAGGCTGATGAAGACCGTCTTGATCCAAGTGAACGTCGGCATCGCCGGGGGCGTTGGGATCAGGAGAATCGGCGTTGGGATAAGGAGAATCGGCGTTGTCGGGCCCGACCGGCACTTGGCAATAAAAACCCATCCCTCCGATGTTCTTGTAAAAATGCCCAAGCTCGCTGTCGTTGCGCGTGGCCTTCTCAATCGGGACATCTAGCAACAGTTTCAGGCACTCGGGAGGAGGAACGGCAGTCATGGCCTCACGGGTTGGGATGCGGCCTAGGGGCACGTCGGCGTAAAATTGGCACCAAGCTAGGGATCCACCAAAGAGAGACTGTAAGCGTAGGATCCGCGCAGGTTCTTCGGCCTTGCTCTTGCCTCTTTTCTTCTTGGAAGGGGTGAAGACCGATTCGGAAGCAATTATGCGGAGGTTATGTGGAGTCAGAGGTGTTGCCGTGGACCCGGGGTTTGACCCAGGATTTAGTGTGGATTGTGCTGGACCATGAGAGGATGATGTCGATTCTGAGAGTGTATTGGACGACAATGAAGGCGCAGCATATCCTCGAAATTGAGTAAAGTCTGGCCATATCGATGTTGCAGGAAGATTGATTGGTTGATAGGGGGACTGACTGGAAGAGGGATAAGCGCCGAGTTGTGGCGACGATACCGAGCGGCCATAGACGGGCGGTTGGAAGGAAGTCGGCTGACCACTGTTGCGCCGCCTCCGATGGTGTTCTGAACCAAAGTCATTAGGATTCGACGGATCAATAGCATCGCTTCCAAGGGTGTAGTTGGGATGTGCCAGGGTGTCATACTGTTGTTGTATTTGTTGATGTGTCATCCAAAGTTGAGGATTGTACTGCTGTTGTTGAAATGTGTTTAGGTGTGGATGGTACAACTCCTGGGGGTGTTGATGTTGCCCTTGTACGATGTTTTGGTGAATATGGTGTTGCATACCCGGTTGGCTCTGCGTATACATCGGTGAAATTACTTCTGCTTGTCGCATGAACGGGTTGTGCATGGCCAGTGTAGAATTGGAGGCGGTTGGCTGAACTTCAGAATATTGTTGCTGCTGTCGATCGCGATGTGGTGACCCAATAATCTGTTGCTGCTGTCGATCACGATGTGGTGACCCAATAATCTGTTGCTGCTGTCGATCACGATGTGGTGACCCAATAATCTGTTGCTGCTGTCGATCACGATGTGGTGACCCAATAATCTGTTGCTGCTGTCGATCACGGTGTGGTGTCCCAAGAATCTGTTGCTGCTGTCGATCACGGTGTGGTGTCCCAAGAACCTGTTGCTGCTGCCGATCACGATGTGGTGACCCAAGAACCTGTTGCTGCTGTCGATCACGGTGTGGTGTCCCAAGAATCTGTTGCTGCTGTCGATCACGGTGTGGTGTCCCAAGAACCTGTTGCTGCTGCCGATCACGATGTGGTGACCCAAGAACCTGTTGCTGCTGTCGATCACGGTGTGGTGACCCAAGAACCTGTTGCTGTTGTCGATCACGGTGTGGTGTCACAGAGACCTGTTGCCCAAGTTGAGCATCGTGGCGTTGATAGTTTTTTCTTGACTACATAGCCAAAAGCAGTGAAAAGGAGCGTAAGAACAAATGTAACACATATGATGAAAAAAGCGTGCAGAGTATAATTTTGCAAATACCTACATAACTTCCGGTCTGGTGAATGTTTGGGGAGGATGATTCTCTCACATTTGCGGCACGAGCAGCACCACCCGTAGTGACAGTGGCGGTGGTAGTAGTGGTGATAATGGTCTTGCTACCTTGACCTTTGTCTCGCTGCTGCACTTTATGTTTCTGTGAGGCGAGCCGCTGTGCAGCCTGATATTCGCCACGTTGGTCGCTCTCAGTCGACTATTGGACCATGAGAAGTGATAGTGTTAGTATAAAAGGTGCCATTTTTAAAGAAAGAGAGAAGTGATAAGCACAGTTTATCAAAGTACATACATAACTTCCGGTCTGGGGTATATTTGCGAAGACAGGTTCACTGGTAGATGCAGTATGACCATTATCAGCAGTGGTAGTATTTGAGGACCCATTGAAATCGTCCGTCTCCTGTTGACCTTGGAGGTGTCGAGAGGGTGCTAGAGGCAATCGATTCTTTTGTACATTGGCCATGGCCACTTGTTGCAGCTACGGAACCATTTGAAGTGAGTCTGGATCAGATTAATAAATTTACGTCTTAAGAGAAAGATGATTCTCCATCCGCTAAAACCCTTCTCGCAGTTGATCTCAGGAATAAATGCACCTATGGTGAACGTCAACACTTACCGAAGGAAGTCCGTCGTGCTCATCTTCATTATCGGATGCTTGCCTTCGTTGGTCGTAATGCTGCTGTGTAGCTAAGTGACGTTGGACACTCCTAGTAGACTTTTTAATGAATTTTAATATTAGCGCCAGTAAGAGATGTTCTATCCACAAATTCGCTTATCCAAGTGTCCACTTACAGGTGATTTTGGTAACCTCGCATTTTTGTTCGCGCTGAGTTGTGAATCACCACCATTCGAGACGCCACTACTGGGAAAAATGTCGTAGGTGCTATTATTACTCCGTGGATCACCGTACTCATTGTCATCTCCTCGATCTGATTCAATATCGCCGGCTCTGTCGTCCTCAGAATGGAACTCCTCGTTGGTCCTGTCAAAAGCAGATTCATCACTTTTTCTGCTCCAGTCTTCGTTCCATCCATCCCTACTGCTCTCTTTCGCATCATCATCGCTCTGTTGCCAGCTTTCGCAACCGTCCGATGGAGAGTTGGTTTGATCATCGTCCGTTATGACGTGTCTCATTTGAGCAAAAAACAAATGAGTGTGTGTGTGTGTGAGTGTGTGTGTGTGTGAGGGGGGGAGAAAGAACAGACAAAGATAAACGGCTACGTTTCAATGGGCCATGTTATCCTTTCACTAGAGGGAGGTTGATTAAACTGAAAGAAACCTGTATATTTAGAAATCGCTCTCTATTGGTCGAACCTTGTTTGACCTGATGTCCCAATTCTTTGACCTGATGTCCCGATTTCTTTGACCTGATGTTGACCTGTTGTTGGTGTGACAAAAAAGAGAATTGACCTGTTCTTTCAATTTCTAAGCCACCACTTGACCTGTTATCAGCCAAATGTACCACAACTCAACCTGTTCTCACATCAGCCCAGACCTCTGGGAACCCTATCAAGGATGGTCGGATCGAGTTCCCTCAAACATGATTCGAAAGCCCATGGTAAGTTCTCACGGCTAGTCAAACGACAACAACTTTCCGAAGATCTTTTCACGTTGGAACGTCGAATTTCTAGACAATCTAAAAGGACACAAGCGACGTTCTGATGGCCGACAATCTCCGACTTCAACAAAGAAAAAGGCCCATTGACAATTTTCATAGTAATAAAACAAAATAAATCTGGGGGTCTCTTTTTTTTTTTTGATCGAAATACTCACTGCCTTCTTCTACCAATGCTTACTTTACCACTGTCTATTTTACATTCATTTTCTACAACTGCGAACTTTCCTCCTCCGAGTCCATTAGCAATGATTACCTCTGAACTTGGATACCATTTGAGGGAAACATCATTGTTTTTCTCCCTTCGTATTGCACGTCCACTTCCACATTATGATATTGATATATATTTATAATGAATAAAAAAAGTTGGCTTGTAGAGGTGCTTTGTATGATTGCTAATCCTTTCATCCTCATTTGATCTCTACATCGTCGTTCTTTTCAAATTTAGATTGAACCGAAAGCTGCGGAGAGTACCAGCGACCACGTACGTACTTGAGCACATACACCAGCAAAAGAAGCATGGGAACCTCTATCAAGGGGCCGATTGTCGCGGCAAGTGCTTCCTTGGATTTGACGCCATACGTGCCCACAGCAACAGCAATGGCAAGCTCGAAATTGTTGGAGGCGGCAGTGAAGCACTGTGGTACGGCAATGTCGTAGGGAACCTTCGTCGCCAAGCACCACAACAAGACTCCAAAGAAGATACCCAAAAAATATAAGATCAACGGAACAGCCGTTCGGAGAACGTTCCCAATGTCGTTCACAATCTCGTGGCCTTGGAGGGCAAACATGACGACGATGACATACAATAATGCCAGCAACGAGAGCTTTCCCACGGCAGGGACGAAGGTCTTGTGGTACCATTCATATCGACGCAGGATCCAACGAGTCAAGAAGCCGGCCAACAACGGAATTCCCATGTAGATGAGGACGCTCCTGACGATAATCCACATGTCGATATGGAATACGGTTCCTTTGCCGACGATGACGACATAGAAGTAGGCTAGGGGACCGTACAGGACGATCTGCAAAAGAGAGTTGACAGCCACCGTAACTGCGCAAAACTCCTGGTCCCCATCTGCAAGCTGATTCCAAATGAGGACCATGGCGATACAGCGGGCAACACCAACAAGGATAACTCCGCTCCTGTAGTCTGGTAGGTCTGGTAGTGTCATCCACGCCAGGGCGACCATGAAGAGAGGGGCGACGATCCAGTTGACCACCAAGGAAAAAAGGATTTGGTTCCTCATAAACCTTCCCTTGAAAAGCGCTCCCAGCTCCTCGTACTTGATGCGACAAAAGACCGGGTACATCATCACGAGTAGGCCGATCGCGATGGGGAGCGATACATCTGCAAACTTGACAGCGTCCAGCACCGTCTCGACATTAGGCACATAGTAGCCGATCAGGACTCCTCCAACCATGCAGATGATGATCCACAGCGGTAACAGTGTATCGATGAGCGAAAGACCCCACATATCTAGAAAAGAAATATTAGAATGGTTAGCATATGCACTGCTGTTCGGGGAAACGTTCAAATATGCTTATCGCATTAATTAGAACTTACTTTGAGATAACTGCTATTCAACAGTGACAGAAAAAAGACAGGTGGAAGGAAGGATGGAAAAAGGACGGATGGAAGGAAAAGAGATGGGTGGAAGGAAGGATGGAAAAGGACAGATGAAAGGAAAAAGATGGGTGCAAGGAAGGATGGAAAAAAGAGGGATGTAGGGAGGGATGAAAGAAAAAAGAAATGTGAAGGGAAGGAAAGGGAGGATAGGAAACGGAAGGCCAGAAGTTGGAAAGATATTTGCAGTTAAATGAAGGAACAGCGATCAGGCAAGAACTCATCTGCTGATTCGCTCCTCACGTTCTTCTAAACAAGCTCTAGGCTCAAACCCCCCAGGGGGCTCAAAAAAAAAAAAAAAAAAGATCGGACTGATTGTGCATAACACATAAGGTACTCATTGATTATGAACCAATCAATACTTCTATTTCTAATCACGTGATGACGCGGAGTTTCATGAACAAGTTATTAACCTTTTCTCTACGTAACACAAGATCCACCCGAAGGGTACTCAATTCGTCTCGTGCATTCGGCAAGATTGGTGTTTAATTCATACCTCTCGTTGCCTCCATCTCTTCACATTCAATTGCACGATGCGATCCAATTTCACAATCCCATTCACTCGCACTCTGTTCACTCGCATTCATTCACACACCTCGGCTAGAACTCAATCGTACATCTCTGCCCGCACTCAATCGTACACCTCATTTTTCAATCAATCTCACATGCAACCCTACAAGCCCTTCCGAGTCGTCAAAAACGATTCCATTGATGACTGGGTTGCCAATCTCGACTTGGATGCGCTGCAAGAGTATGGCAGAGGACACACACCCATCAACGTCCTTGTGCTCTATGGATCGCTGCGAGAGAGGTCCTTCTCCCGCTTACTCGCTTTCGAACTCGCCAGAATTCTCGACCGACTTGGAGCCGACGTCCGTGTTTACGACCCCACCGGACTGCCCGTCAAGGATGGCGTGTCAGAAAACCACCCCAAAGTTCAAGAGCTGCGGGAGCTTAGTCAGTGGTCCCACGCCCATCTTTGGGTGTCTCCGGAACAGCACGGCAATATCACCGCCGTTTTCAAGAACCAAATAGACTGGATTCCTCTCGCCCTGGGCTCTATCAGACCTACACAGGGGAGGACACTCGCCATCGCTCAAGTGTGTGGCGGCTCGCAGAGCTTCAACGCTGTCAATACGCTCCGGATCTTGGGGCGGTGGATGCGCATGTTTACGGTCCAGAACCAGTCGTCGGTGCCCAAAGCTTGGATGGAGTTTGATAGCGACGATCGCATGAAGCCAAGTGATTACCGCCAGCGGGTTGTCGATGTCGCCGAAGAGTTATTCAAATTCACCAACATTCTGCGACCTCAGATGGAGTTCCTTACTGACAGACATAGCGAGAGAGAAGAGAAGCTGAAAAACGGAAGATTGCTGTCCCAAGCGGAGAAGCTTCAGTAACAGAATCAAAGAGGTTTATTATATTAAAGACAGCAATTGCCTTAGTAGTTATTCTCTGCGATGAACGCTTTGATCTTGGTCTCGATCTCGTCTCTGATCTCACGGGCTTCATCAATGGGCTTGTTTTTAGGGTCGGTGATTTTCCAATCAACAATCTTGACTCCGGGGACGTAAGGGCATGTTTCGCCACATCCCATCGTGATAATGGTGCTGATGGTTGTGGCGAGCTGAGGAGTCAGCTTGATTGGGGTGATGTTGGAAAGGTCAACACCCACCTCTAACATAATTTCTCGGACAACGCCGTGCACCTCGGAGGCTGGGTTGGTTCCTGCAGACACGCCTTTGATGGCGTCTTGAGTCCTGTGCTTGTTGAAAAACGCAGCGGCCATCTGCGAGCGACCTGCGTTATGGACGCATGCGAACATGATGTCGGTCATTGCTTATGAGTCTCGGATTCTGTCATAGTGTGGAAAGAAGGTCTAGCAGTTAGAAAACGGTGTGTCTACAGTTCAAAGACCTCTGTGTGTACACGTTCAAGCATGTTTAAGCTACCCGTATAAATGAGGTGATGCTGATAACACTTACAGGTGAGTGGTTTGTGGTATGAGAAAGGGAGGCTGAATTGTGCCGGAACACGATACTTGAATAAATGGAGCTGAAAATGGAGATAAAGAATGGAAAAGAATGGAAAAGAACGGAAGAGAACCTTCCATTTTATATTCTCAGAGAGTAGACAATGGATAAATCACCAAGGACAAATAATGTATCAACGTGGCCAAATGAAAGTACCTGGGTCGGACAATGCTCTGGTGGTCCATGTCCCCGGTCTAGATCGCAGAACACCTCATGGAACAAGTGCGGTACTCTTTTTCACCCTGTGCAATCTCTGAGCGTTTGCAAATACTTGACCATCACAGTTGGGCAATGACTCTTCGTCTTTTTTAAACGTGTTCTCTTTTTCATTCCTTACATCGCTGTGTCTCCTTTTGTAGCCTGGAAGTCCACTCACGCTGAAGTCAGACTGCGCAACAACCTATTGAGTTCAGTGCAGACATGAGATCTGCTCCCGAGAGCCTGCAAATAAGTTGATGCTTTGACGGTATTCCCAAACTACCATTGTAAGCATAATTGCATCTCTACTTCCCCTTTGTCAAAGCGTTATGGTCTTGCTGTTGCTGCAGGGCACCATGGCCATCTTCGGCCGAGAGTTCCTTTAGGGTCTTACTCTAGGTTTATGGAAGCGATTGGATTGGTAGATGAGCTAGTTGTGAACATGGGGGTGACTTTGGATAGAGTCAGAACATTGTGTATTTGATGCAGATGTATTTGCCTGCTTCTGATCTATCCACTATTGTTTGGAAGTCGCGGAGCATAGTACTATTATCGGTCTAGAATGTCTGATGATCATTGACACTGAGGGTCGACGCATCAGAAGGAGTCCCTAGTTATACTTCCAAATAACTCATACATCCCTTTCGACCCAAAAGGTACTCTTTTCGGTCTGTAGTTAAGGGCAGCCTTTAAGCTGATGACCTCGAACGGTTTACACACACATAAAGTACCATGCCATGTTCTCTTGTGTGGTTTGAGGGATAAAAGTATCGAGACCATACATGAGATAAATTCACTGTGCATCTCATCTTTTTCTCTTTTCAACACTTCTTTCAATTCACCCTCTCTTTCACTTCCTCGTTCAACCACTAACACCCTACACACACTTCCACCAATATTTACCCTCCATCAATTAGTCGAAGTGCTTCCGCTGATCCTTCCCTTCCTTCAATAATCCAGTTGCTCGACCATTAAATCCATCTCCACCACCAACATGAAGTTTGGCAAAGCCCTCGAAAATTATGCCGATTCCATGCCTGAAACGTGGCGCCCATATGTTATTCACTACAAGGCCCTCAAGAAGAAGATTCATGCCATTGTGCAGGAGCTCGATGATCGAGATCTCGAGTCGCCAGTCAATGAGAGTCTAATCTCTCCATGCATACTTGCTGATGTGCAACATAAGGAATACTTGATTGGTGGTAAGAGCAGTACTCTTTGCATCTCTGTCATCATGTAACCTGTAAAAATGCATCACAAGTTTTTGCCTTACCCAGCGCTGCGAAGTGCACCTCGCAACAAAAAAGAAATAGCATTGGCTTGCTTACATACTTACTTGCATTGTCTTGTTCTCAATCAAATACGCATTAGGCGAAAAGGGGCTTATAACTTCATGCATCAAAGTCGTTCTGAATAACCCCGAGCCCATTCCTCAGTCAGTTTCGCTAGAGAAGCAGCTGTCAGAATTTTCTGTTCACAAATCCGCCTCGATCGGCGATCTGCACGAGCAGATGTTAGCAAATGGTCCCTTGGTCTCCAAAGCGATATCTGTGGACATCCACGACCATCAGACAGTAACGGTGCTCGGTCAGCAGTCCACAAGTCGCTTCTTGGCTGCGCCTGGACCAGATGCAGAAGCGGCTTATTGTTTTTGTCGTTTTAGCGCAGTTGATACGATAACGACAACGATCACGGAGCTATCAACCACAGCAAAGGAGTCGCTGTCTGCCTCGTATGGGCCTCCGCCACTCTCACAGCCCCCTTTTCTGCCAAGCCACATCAATGCCGCCCAGGGCATGTTATTCCTAGAGCAGAAAAATGACGAGCCGATGGAGACTCTCGCTACCCCTGGTGTGCTGTCTGAGCAAATGTCCTTGTTTAAGGGCAACGTCAAATATTCGAACAGTATTTCGAATCAGAAAAGGTCCAGAGTACGCACAGTAGAGGAGAACGGCAAAAGGTATCCATCGAATCAATAGCAAACATGCAGGTATATTGCTACTGCATCATTAATTGTCACAGAGAGACTACTTCATCCCTTCATGTACTAAATAGTGTCATTTTTCTCTGGTTACATCGCGTTCTAGGATTTTAGTCATAGAGCTCATAGCGGACACAGCATTCTTCGACCAGTTGGCGGAGGAGGTCTCCAAGCTTAGTAAGCTGCTGCAGGGTATTAAGCGAGAGTTCGAATCTAAGGTTGAGGACCTGAGCAAGATCCTGACCGTTGTCTCGTCGCCTTATAACAAGGACATGTACTCGTGGAGAGAGATCCTTAAGATCTACCGGGACGCGCAGGTTTTTGTTGGTGAACAGGAGTCGGACCGGTCCTCGCGATCATCGGAAAAGGCCCAAGGGCGACTTCAATGGTTTCTGAAGGAGATGGAACGCAGAGAGCTAACTCTAAATTTCAAGCAGGAAAAGTCCAAGATCGCATTCAACACCTTTTTCCAGCTGAACTGCAAGCTCATAATGATCAAGCAATTCAAGGAGTTGAATAAGTCCGCCATAACCAAAATTCTTGATATACATGACAAGCGCACTAATCTCACGTAAGTACCTGAAAGTCAATACTGTCTTTTGCACGTTTGTCCCCCTTTCCAGCCTTGAAAGAGTTTGCGTTCCTGCATTCATCCCCTATTTATCTTGATTCTTCTCGTTTACTCAATCGCATAATGTGCAGTGCAAGCTCCGGGTTCCCCAAGCACCTTCAGCATGAACCTTTTTACAACAGCTGCGTCTCAAAGGCAATCACACACACCATCGAGTGTCAATTGCTGTCAATCGTCCCCCAGCCTGATGACTACGCATGTCCCATTTGCATGGGTGAGTACTTCACGTTAGAGGTTTATTTTACGTCAGGGCTCGGTACTCGTTATATGAATTCATACTGATCTGCTTCTTGAAATCTTTTTCCCGTTTTTAATACATATTAGCGGTTGCCTGGAAGCCCATCCGATTAAACTGCAGCCACGTGTTTTGTGTTCGGTGCCTGGTCAAGGCTCAGCGTACAAAGATACTCCACTGCCCTATCTGTCGATACCCTAATTCGGTACTCGACGCTAAAGGCAGCAATCTGGATGTTTCCTTGATGAATTTTTTGGAGCTCTATTTCCCCAAGGAGGTCAAAGACAAGCGAAAAGACTCGAACCGGGAGCAAGCTGCCGAGGAGATGGAAGCATTAACAGGACAGCGCTGGACAGAGGCGCCAGATTCAGCTTGTGTCATAATGTAGTCTTTGTAGCTCATTTCATGCCTAAGCCGATCGTGCAATAATTTTATTTTACACAATATTTACCTCGTATCAAAATTACCACTGTAGTATAGAGTGGGATGTAGATTGATCAGCATGCAATACACTTTTTCTTGTTGTACTCTGCGACAACACAAGCCTTTTGTCGAAAAATCTAGGCTGGGCAAGGCAGGATAACTTGTCCCATCAACTGCCTGGTGCAGTATATGCAGAACAGGAGCGAGAAGACGAGCGTGAAGACGAGGGTGGGGCGAACCGAAAGGCCAGGTTCATGGAGCAGTTTCGAGATCTCGTGATTGGGATGGCAAAGGTTATGCTGTTCTTTGATCGAATGACGGACAACATCAACAAGCTAAACCCTGCAAGGGTGACTTCTGCACTCGAGGATATCTTCAGCAACAGCAACAGCAACAGCAACAGCAACAGCAACAGCAACAGCAACAGCAACAGCAACAGCAACAGCAACAGCAACAGCAACAGCAACAGCAACAGCAACAGCAACGGCAACGGCAACAACTGCTACTAAAACAGCACAAAAAAAGACAAAAGGACAACAAAAAGACAAAAGGACAACAAAAAGACAAAAGGACACCAAAAAGACAAAAGGACAACAAAAAGTCAGTTAAGGGAAAGAGTTAATTAGGACACTTAAAAGAAAAAGTCAGATGTGACAAAGGGAATAGAAACAATTGGTGTCAGAAGTAACATCGCTTCTCAATCCTTGAATTCAAGGTAGTGTTGTAGATGAGATTGGAACATTAAGGGCCTAAAGGTTTTGTTGGTTTTCGCTTTACAAGTTGATCCTCTTGCTGCTGGGGATGTACTCAACTTCCTAGTATATCTAAGGAGGAAACTGAGGAAATAGCAACGAGACAAGGTTCGACATGCATAGAGTTTTCAACATCTCTTGCAAGCCCATGACTCAGGATTTACTCGACATCATAATGTACTGTGATTGAAGCAGGCTACATTGGATAAAAGGTGAGGATATTTATGAATGTGGAGTATGAAGCTCATGCGATGTAAATATACTAAGGTGTTGGCGTGAATTCTTCTTCGACAAAGGCCATAACAGAGGCATTGGCCTTGGTGATATACGTTGACATAAGTGGGGCCAAAACCTGCAGGGTATTGTTAAGAAGAAGGTTGCCAAGGATTTTGATAGATGTTTGAGTGCCGGAGAAAAGTGTAAGTATCCCGTCCAAACCCTTGGATGCATTGGTTTGATCGATGCATTGGTTCCGAAGCTCCTCCACTGTCTGTTTGTCGATCACGGCTTCTCTTGCATCTCGAATGACGCGACTGGCGAGAGTGTGAAAGAGACGTGACAATACTGATCCGTCGCCGTTGTGAGATTGATCAAACGCCACCAAAGTGAATATTGTATATGGCTGACAAGGGTGCTTGTTGGCAAACGGACTGCTGGCACGGCAAAGGTAGTAGGTAGATGGGTCGTGGAATTTAGTTTTTGTTTGCCGCAGCTGCCACATGAGGTTGCTGTTGGAGACGGACCATGTATCTTTTCCTTTGGCAAGCTGAAGACCATCGTCCAATGATTCCTGATCCAGGATGACCTTTGTTGCCAGTGAATGACTTGTGCTGGAAAGTAGAAATGATGGTGTAGTACAACCGACAGGCGCGTTCATCCTTGTATCCAAACGAAGCGAGGAAGTGACGAGGGCATCGAAAGATAATGTGCCAATGATCAGTCGTTCTCCGTCCTGCGCTGAAACAGTCGTGGGCCAGACGTTTTTGTATGGCGTTTTGATAGACGGCGGCAAAGAGTTGACAACAGGTTGACCCTTACGTACGATGAAGGGCTCTCGATGGGCATCGACCAGTCTTGTCCGGCCATAAACCTCGATCGTATTGGCAATGATGACCTGACCGTTCTGGTTGTTGAGGAGGAGGCATCCAGCAAGAATCTTTGCGCAGGCAAATCGGAGATAGGGAAAAAATTCCCAGTCTCGATTGAAAAGCTCGCAAACGCCATTGTCGAGTTCGGTGTACTTTCGCCTCTTTATCGATGCTGCATAGGGCGAAGTCGACAACACATACTCCAGTCCAGGTGCAGGGGTTGGAGTGCAAATGGGACAGGCATCGTGATCAGCATGCTTCCTTTTTTTTGGGTAGAGGCATGTTTGGTGCGACTTGACCTTCACCAGTGGACAGCTTGGCAATGACGGAGATATGGGCCAGACCATTTTGCTCTGCTCCGTGAGGATCCTTCATGGCCTCAGTTCAAGTGCGTTGACAATGCCCAGTGTCCGTTACTTCTCCGCGTCAGAGACATGTGTCTGGTCGCAGCTGTACAGAAAGAACCGCATCATTGTACTCTCGCATCTGAGGTGTTGAGTCGGCCGCCGTTATTGAAACTGGGAGAGACTGGTAGCTCGGCATGGCGATGACTGGTGATTGTTGTCCAGGCTTGTCGTTGTCTTGCTCTTCAGGTGCACAGGTCATGATGTCCAGGCGTATGCGGCATCCACCTCCAGGAGTACGATTAGAAGATCTGAGTCGAGACCCGAAAGTAAAGAGTCCTTTATTTGTCTGAGACAGCATACTCTATAGCGCCCATGCCTCCTCCAACAATGATCACCAATGGCGTTGGTATACCCAGGTAACCCGAGGCCACGAACGCCGCACTGGCGATCACGGCATGGAATCCGCTGCTTCCACCATGTCCATCCACCTGGAGCCAGAGGAGCCACGTCGCAGAAAAGACCAATCCCAATGCACAGGCATTGACACCTCTAAAAACCATCTTGACAGAAGAATGTTCGCGTACAAACTGCCAAAAGGGAATGATGGCATTCTTGAGGATCAGTCCAGGGAAAAAAATGGCCAGGAAGCAAAGAGCTGCTCCTGCAACACCGCTCTTGCCGGCATTGACCATCGCGACCGCGCCTAGGAAGCATGCAAAGTTGAAGTTGGGACCGGGCAAGGACTGGATCAGAGCGAGGCCCAGCAAGAACTGTTGGGCAGTCATCCATTTAGAGTCGTCCACAACGTAGGTTTGCAAGAGCGGAATGATCACTGGGCCGCCGCCAAAGATGATGGATCCAACAAAATAGAAGGTAGCGACCAATGGGCCGTAATCCGCGTTAGGAGAAGGAGGGACGAGGGCCTTGACCAAGATAGAGGCAATGAGGAGGACGAGAAAGACCAAAAAGAAAACAAGTCCCAGCTTCTTTGAATACGAGAATGGTTTTCTTTCGCTGTCCGCCTATGGATTGATGAAATTCAATACGCTATCAGCAGGTATGCATAAAGCGTGGCGTAGCAAGTGTCGTTTTACTATCTCTGCATGGGCTTACCTTGTTATCCAGAACGAAATCGTCCGCTTTCTCTGTAGTTGCAGGCGATTCGGCCTTGCCCCGACTTCTGATCGTGCCGTGTACACTTGATGCTTTGTTATCGCTCACTTCCGTCTGGTGGGTGTCTGGGCTTGGTTCATTATGGATATTATCAGAGTCCGGCGAACCTGTGGGCTCTGCTTCCTTGGGGCCTTGTCCTTGCTCCAGATCCTTCTCCTCAGCCTTTGCTTTCTCTCGACGACTGATCCGCTTCTCTTTCCAATTATGATGGGCTGGTGTCAAGAAGGCATCGAATACGTAGCTGACCAGCCCCCCTGCGATCATCATAACAGGCAAGAGCCAAGGTGCAGTATAGAGGGCCGAGATACTTCCAGCCACCAGTGCGAGAATCCGTGTCAGCTTATCTGTTGCCAATGACGTCGACATTTTGTAGGCTGCCAAGGCAACGAGTCCAATGGCTGCGGAGGCAAGACCTTGCTCCAATCGAGTTGCCCATGTGGGGATCCCTCCTTCGATGCTACCTATCAAAACACCTGCAACTGTCATGACAATTGCCCCTGGGATGCTATTAAAGAGGCCAGTCAGGCGATACCAGAACAGATACCAACGACAACGTACACGTTAAAAAAGGTCCGCCAACGTTCAAGAACCAATTTCAACCAATGGAAGAATAATCCAAATAGGATTTTTTTACCTCCATAGAAGGAATCCGAGGATTGAACAAAGGTAGCCAGATCGGACAAGGGACAAACTGTAAGCGAGCTCAGTACTTGCTGGACCAGGTAAAGCTTGACAGATGGCAAAAAGTTCTGTAAACTGTTCATTGGAGACCCATTCGCGCTTGACGACCATTTCATCATGGAGGATAGCGATATGAGCCGCAGGGCCACCAAAGGTCGTGAAGCCAAGTTTGTAGTAAGTGTGAAAAGTCTCCCATAGCCGCTCCTTGATTGGTGGCAGGTTGTAGGGGTTGGAGGGTGACATTTGATTCACTGTGTGGAATGGTGGAGATTGAATGGGTATAAATGGAAGAGGAGAGTTGGATGGAGGACTGAGATGAAAGGGACAAGGACGGGTAGAGTCAAAGGGACAGAGAAGAGAGGGGGGAGAAGAGAGGGAAGAAGGGACAGGTGAACGTTTTTTTTTGCTCTGCGCTTCGTTGATTTGGATTTATTCGGAAGCCAATCTCCACTCGAGCCAACAGCACGTTTGACTCAACAGTGTTACACCAATGCCCTCTTCGGCGTGGAACACGTGTGAAAATCAGGACTCAAATTATCACGTGATATTGTTGCGTCATTCTTTCTGTCTCCACGTCCCTCAGGTGCAAGAGATAGAGCGCTTCGGCCTGATCTGCCACCTCGCTTCATCGATCCTCAACTCATTTCACACGCAACATCCCTTAACATTCCTAACACCATGGACGCACAAGAGACTACCAACTGGATAAATCGGGGCTATTGGAGATCGCTTATGCTAGGGGTCATATCAATGGGGGTCAGATCTAAGGTAAGAGCGATGGTAGCTACTTGAGAGCGATGGTAGCTACCTGAGAGCGATGGTGATTACGTATAATAGATGTAGGTCGGCGTCGTGGGTGAGCACCTACGAGATCCTAGCGAGAGCATCTAAGTGGTGGCTTAGGAAGTGCCAAACGCAGCACTTAACTATGACGTGATTATAGCGCAGAGGAGAGCAAAGGGAGTCTGATCTCTACGAAAAATTCTGGCTCTTTCTCTTCTTTTTCTCATACCTTCTCCCTTCTGGCCATCGATTGACTGTCAACATACAAAATAAACAAACATCAGACGATATTCCATCATCTGTTTTCTCTTCGTATTTGGATATATATAGTAGTTTTGTCTTTATTTCATCGTCTTTTGCATCGGCACCTGTCTACCTTGTCAGACCATTCATCGAACCATCGGAGCCCAATTTAATGGGATTGGTGATGGTCATGGTACAGTAGTTGGTACTGTTGGCCTCCCACTCTTTCCAGTGCCTCTCATCATAATTTTCGACCAACTCGTGATCCTCCTTATACTTCTTTTGCCATTTGACAAATCCGCCCTTCAACACATACACTTGTTGCTTGGCAGCCAATTCTTCTGATTGTCCCTCGGCCCAGACGGCAGCTCCTTGGGGTCCTCGAAAGTGAGATTGTCCACAATAAAAATACAATTGGGGAACATCAGCATGTTCCTCGAGGAGCTCGGGAAGACGCTCGGGAAGTTCGTGGAGAGGAAGGTTCAAGGATCCGGTAACATGGCCGCCCTAAGAGAATGACAAGAAAAAGAATGGAGAAAGGTTAGAGACAAGGTCTAAAAGCACTGGTGAAGGAGTAACAGTCGACCGGAGGATGATCCTGTCTGCTTACAACATGGTCTTCGCCACGGACATCGACGATGAGGTAGTCCTTGCCGGGGACTTTTGTCTTGTCCTTGACGAGCTGGTAAACAACATCGCCCTCGACGACGGACTGGGTGGATACTGGTTCGGTCATGTTGTGAGTTTGCGTTAAAAGTGTGAGAAGGAAAAAGGTGGCGAGCGGTGGCTATTTGGATAGTTTTGTCGTAAGAAAAGTCCAAAAGAAAAGGATTTTGGGCAGGTTTTATATCTCCAGGTTATTCTGATCTGATGATCAAAAGATGTGAAAGCGAAAGAGGGTCCGGCGATGGCAACATCTCGACCATAAATTTCTCATTTTACTGTAATTTATATGCCAAGATAAAGTGCGCTTTAAACAAACAACAGTGGGCACACATGATATGACTCTACGCCACTTCCTTCATCTCTTTCGCCACACCTTATGTTATCACCATCTGTAATAGCAAAAGGGAGAAGAGGGAAGACAAGAGGCAAGAGTGTAGAGACAAGAGACAAGAGTGTAGAGACAAGAGAAAGGGGCAAGAAAAGATGCTGTTTATTGTACAAGGAGAGAGGGGTAACATCACTGGCCCTGGTTAAGGAGGGCGTGGTGAATAGTGCGGGTGGCGGTGTGGTGAAGGAAGGTGAAGTAGATGATCATTCTATGAAAAGGTGAGGGCGGGGAGGGCGAAGGTGAAGGCAAAGCAGAACAGTTTAGGATACTATCATACCATCCCAAGCGTTCATAGCGACGTTGCTTTTTGATCCTTCGATGTCGGCTCTTCCTATCATACTGAAGCAGAATTCAGTAAGCGTTGGATTGTTCACCCACTAATAGGGAACGTGAGCTGGGTTTAGACCGTCGTGAGACAGGTTAGTTTTACCCTACTGATGAAATGTTGTTGCAATAGTAATTGAACTTAGTACGAGAGGAACCGTTCATTCGGATAATTGGTATTTGGGCCTGCCTGAGCAGGCAATGGCCCGAAGCTATCATCCGTTGGGTTATGGCTGAACGCCTCTAAGTCAGAACCCGTGCTAGAACGCGACGATTACCGCCTTTTCCGATTTTTAGTTGAATACGAATAGATCCTCGGATCCTGAATCATACTACGTGGGGTTATCTTGCAGAGCGGAAAGGCTTTGTGAGGTTCCTGCTAATGTTAATTTCAAATATTGGAAGAGATAAATCCATTGCAGACGACTTTAATTGAACGGGGTATTGTAAGCAGTAGAGTAGCCTTGTTGCTACGATCTGCTGAGATTAAGCCCATTGTTCTATAGATTTGTTCGAAAGAACAACATCTCCTCTCTCTTTCTTTTTTTTTTTTTTTTTTCTTGTGTGGGCGTTGTTAAGGGCCATTCATCAAAACATGAAGCGACCAAGATGGCCACGCCATGTAAAAAAATCCTGTGTCGTGCCAGAGCGGTGTAAAAAAATCCTGTGCACGACCCGTGTAAAGAGTGTCGTGCCAGAGCCGTGTTAGAATCCTGTGTACGAACCATGTAAAAAATCTCAACGCCCTCGCCTTTGAAAAAAAAAAAAAAATCTTCATGGGGGGGTGGCATTCGACATGTGTAGTGTGGTGACAATTCCTCGCCCGCCAGTGAGGAAAAAAAAAAAAAAAAAAAATTAATCTTCATGGGAGGGTGGCATTTGACATGTGTAGTGTGGTGACAACTCCTCGCCCGCCAGTGAGGAGAAAAAAAAAAAAAAAAAAAATCCTCATGGGAGGGTGGCATTCGACATGTGTAATGTGTTTGGTGACAACTCCTCACCAGTGAGAAAAAAAAAAAAAAAAATCCTCATGGGGGGGTGGCATTCGACATGTGTAATGTGCTTGGTGACAACTCCTCCCCTCGCCAGTGAGTGAGGGGGGGTTTTTTTTTTGTTCGTTCTTTGAGGCCTGGCATTCGATATATGTTTGGTGACAAACACTTACTTTTAAGTTACGGCCATACACAACTAAACCCACCGCATCCCGTCCGATCTGCGCAGTTAAACAGTTGATGGCATAGTCAGTACTATGGTGGGGGACCTGTCAAGAAAGCAGACCAAGCAATAGAATGAAGTAGATAAAGAGAACCTTGATCAAGGACTAGGAAATGAGTATAAGGAATAGGTTAAAGCGTATGTTGTATTGGCGATACCAAGTAAAGAGCTATAGATTTGCTATCTAAGGCCCTTTTATATTTGTTAGGGCGAAGTCACAAGAGCAAGCTCTTGTCTCGTGACACCTATTTCTTAATTAGAGTTGCTATGCTTTATATAGAACAGCTTTCAGTTTGCCTGTAAGATGTGCATTGAGACTGTGGTATAAAAAAAACAGCATTTTCCGTGCAAAACCCATGTGAAATCTTAAATATAAATAGCATGCAAAAGACTGGGCCATACATGCTTCCAATTAATTGATTCATTGAAGTCAAGGCATTTCGATTCCGGCAATGAGCCAATGTCAGTTCATGCAAAAAGAGACAAGCGGTGATGAATGAAGTAGCGATCGAAGAGAATGAATGACATGAATCAGATTGCTAATTGATCAGTTAGTGAACGGAAATGAAATGAGAATGTTTGAAATCGCGATTTGATGAATCAATTGCAATACGTGAAAAGAGACAAGGATCTCTGCTGTATTATAAATACTACAGTAAAAAGTGCGACTAACTGGACTACAGAGACATAACCACATCTGGAAAAAGGAGCACGGACAAATTGTTAATTAAGGGGTTTTAAACGTCATAGGTCCAAGATGTTGTTACAAAAAGATGTGGTGGCTAGGCAGTGGCGGCGATGCCTTAGGTTAGCAGTCATATTCTTTAGTAGACATAGTATTAGTAGTGCGCCGAGCCCTCTTGTCTGCTCTTTGTCCTTTTACACATCACTTGGACGAGCAACGCGGAAATGCTTACAACCCTTGTAAATTAAATGTTTACAAGGGTGTATGAATGAACGTGTACAATGAGTAAAGATTCGATGAAAGGGGTCTTTTACATTAGTGTAAGGCGCACTCGACGAGTGAATAAACACACATAGGTAAGCATTTCATAAAATGAAGGTCGTACAACCCAGTAAGGCTCTGGTTTTTTTGGAATGTTTACAATGGTGTATCAATTAGCCCCAAATCCATTTTTTACATACATGTAGGAACATACAGAATCGCCTTTTCTTACCCCATTGTAAACAAAGCCCGATTCTGCCTCCTTTACAACTGAGTAAGGATTACAGCAGAATAGAGGAGGTTTCTATTTGCCGACAATTGGTCTAATCCTGGCTTGACCAGCGCTGCTGGATGCCTTAAGCGTCATTTGACTAGGCGACTCTTATCTGCGAACTGTCCATTTTTTTTTGCTTCTTTGATTTGACAGAAAGCAACAAAAGGTGTTTGACGCCTTGAGTGTCCATTTTACTGGTGAAATTGTTTTTGTCTTGAGGATGCTAGCCATCTTGACCTGACTTTTACATACTTTTTTACACTCATTTTTACACCCGTTCATACTTGAACCTGGCCAGAGTCGAGACACAAATTAGCCTCATCTTCCAGGCCTCTTCTGCACATGAACCGTCATTCGCTTTGTCTTCTTTTCAGATCTCGTCTCTTTCTTCATTCTCTCTTTATATTCAAACACAAGGAAACAAGGCCAAATCAACTGTTCCACCAAGCTCAGGATCCTATACAGTCCTTGTTTGCTCGTTTGTTTCTTTGTCAAATATGTCATACAGGGCAAATAAAATTAGCAAAATATAGTTTATTCTTCGAAGTATCTTATGCCTTGCCGTCCGTGTAATTCTGCACTCAAAGAGGAGGTGACTACAGGGAGAGGTGCCAAGGACCTGATTGTGCATCTAAAGGTAGAAGAGAATAAGAATTGGTGAGAGATGAATGGTAGAAGGGGAGGTTAAAGGAGGACAGAGGGAAGGTGAAGGGGAGTAGAGGGGAGCAGCTAGAGGGGAGTAGAGGGGAGCAGCTAGAGGGGGGTAGAGGGAAAGGGGGAAGGGCGGTAAGAGAAAGAAAAGAGTGAAGGAGAAAGGGAGACAAGGGATAACGTGCGTGGAGGGAATGGGGGGACGGATGGAGGGATAAAGAGGAAGAGGACAGTTGAGTGTCGTGAGGCGGTATAGTGAATATGAATAATGCCGATTACGACAACAGAGAAAAGGAAAATGGAACAGAAGGGTGGAAAAGTCCAATTCGGATTGCACCTCTTTTTAAAAGGGTGTAAGAATTCTCGACAGTTGAGCTGTGTACAATGAGTCGTGTTCTGATGACAGTCGTCCCTCTCTCCCCTTCCTCTCCGCTCCCTGTATCTCTCATTTCGTAAACTTGCATCCGTGCACACGGGTGCTTCGAAAAGATAGAAAACAGAGAAAGGCAAGCGATACTAATCACCTGCATGCTCTTTTCTTGCCCACACAATTATACATAAGAAAAACAATTAAGCAAAAACAACAGGGATGAGGTAGCAGGAATGAGTGGTTAAGTTAAGGAACAACCACCTCCACCATCAATCCAACAGAAAAACAAAAGATGGTGAGGGACAGAACGAGAGGAAGTCAAGGAGGGACGATGCAAGATTTCAAATAGACAACTTCCTCCAACTCGTGTTATAAAAAAAGAGAAAATTGGGCGAAAACATGTGCTTACGTCGCTCTTTTTTTTTTTTTTTTTTTTTTTTTTTTTTGTTTTCTTCCTTTACAAAGTGGTCAAAGCATAACGGCGCGAATGGGCCTCCATAACCTTATACTTTTCTTAGGCCTGGATCTTGATAGAAACAACAAGGTGTACGACCAAGGACGAATATCCCCAAATGAAAAGCTAGTGCGGGTGAGAGAGAGGGCGAAAGGCAAGCTCGTGAGAACTCAGAATACGAACCTTGCAGACTAAGAGACCTGGGACCAAAGGGTGTATGATGTGATGTATGCATGTACGAGCCTTGATGAGTATTTTTTTTTCTTTCAATTATGTTTGAGTGGAATCCTTTCCCCTGTTGCGGTACGGGGTTTTTATTTCTATTTTACCCCGTCTTTTTATGTAACGAAGAAGTACTGCTAGCGACCACATCACCACATGGCAGATGGTCGCTGCTCAACTACCACCTCCGTGATTGTTTATAATAATTATCATCTCCGTGATTATT